CCCCAAAACCCCAAAACCCCAAAACCCCAAAACCCCAGATGAGTAGGAAGAAATTGAAAAATATTTAAGTGGGAATAGGCTATTGATGAGTAATTTAAGATCTCCCGGCTCTGAAATTTCCTCTTCTGGACTGTCTGCTTCTAGTTGGTCCTCCCTCCCTGTCTCTTTCGGATGGAAGCTCGTGTCTACAGGTTGGACATGTATTGTGCTCATCAAGCCAAGGGTTAATGCAGTCTGGGTGGAAGATGTGTCCACAAGGTAAAACCAGTCCTTCATCACCTTTTGGAATCTCACTGATGCACACGGTGCAAGATGGCGCTTCGACCTTGCCGTCTTTGTTCTTCTTGCAATGCTTTCTGCCAATCTTGACAACGGCTAACTTCTTCCTAATATCTTTGTCAGTGGGCCTCTTGGCTGCTTCTTCAGCCTCCTGGGCAGACCTGTTGATGATGTCTTGGAAAATATCGCTGCTTCTGAAATTCGACTGGAAGTTCGTCATGAACGACTCCTGGTTGAAAATGTCTCCAACAAGGTCTTGGAACAAACTATTGAAGACTCCAAAGTTTGCAAAGAAGTTGATACCTCCATGGTCGTCGTCTCCGTCATTAAACTCTCTGGTAACACTAAATCCTCTGTTAGGGTGAGTCGGGTCTGAGAAGAAGGCATGAAAGATCACACTCGGCGAGGCTCCTCTTCTCCTGGCACCACCCGGAGTGCCTCTTTGTCTACTTTGTCTGCTTTGTCTTGCTTGATGAGTGTTGTCAGACGGAGGACTGCCATTATTTGTAAATGGACTGCTGTTTCCAAAAGCTATAGTTAAAATTAAGCTGGCAAACAAAACTAGTTATCCAACTATACACAAAATTACCTCCAGGAGCATGATCGTTTGCATCTGTGTTGGCTCTACTTAAGTTAATTCTGGTAGGTCCGTGTCCATGTCTGCTTTCGCTAGGTCTCGATGGAGGAGCTCTGGTTCCGAAGTTTCCGAAGTGAAACTCTCCAGTAAATGAGTTATCAAAAGGATTGTCTGGCATCGGAGCCCTTCTATCGTCTCTATCGTTTCTGCCGTCTCGATTGTTACGATGGCCAGTGGGTGGAGCCTTTCGCTCTTCATGGCTCTCACTAGGAGTCCCTCCGGCTCTATTTGCATTTGCATCACCATGAAGATTCTCCGGGTCTCTATCGTATACATCTGTTCTGTTATGACTTCCAGACCTCCTACTGAAAACCATGGAGTAGGCGCCTGTGTTCTCCCTACCTCTTTCCCTACGGATGTTTTCTTTCTTAATGACTCTCTTCTTTTTCTTTCTATCAACTTTCTGGCAGAACCTCTGCCCTCAAACTTCTCAAGTAATGGTATCATCAGGATTAAGTAATCTGGAGTAAATTTTTTCTCATCTTTTGCATTCGTATTTGACATTGACTAGGTTGTAGCCATCCATTTTCTAAAATATTATAATCTTGTATCAATTCATTGGAATGAGTGTGGGGTTTTGGGGTTTTGGGGTTTTGGGGTTTTGGGGTTTTGGGG